AAAGTTACCTCCTTTCCCTGGGTTCAGTCATATCACAAATTATTTCATCTCTGACCTTGTGCTCCCAGAAGATGGGACCCAGAATTTTTGGGTCCTTTTTTTTATTTTGAGGAGCATGAAACCAGCTCCTCAAGACAGCTTTCTTCCAGGCTTCAATTGCATTAGGACTAAGTAACTAACACATGCTGTTTCTTGTTTATACGTATTAGGACTGTGCCCACACCATTTCGTTTGTTGAGAAAACACTCCTTTCTATATTACGTCAGCCAAAACTTCCATCTGCTCTTTGCCTCCCAGGATTGGTACCCTGGTGTACATATTTTACAAAGTTACTGGCCCTTGATCTAACAGGGTAATAACTCTAACAGATTAATTCCTTAAGTTTGGGACCTTGGGTTATATAAAACTAAATGAGTTCCCTGATGTTATCAGTCCTATAAATCCAACATTCTGTTGTATTTACATAAAATGAAGGTTCATTAAATTTTATCTTCCTTCTACTCTATCCCCAAAATGGTATTATAAATTTTCTTCTCCTGAAGTTCTTAATGATTCAAAATGTACTCTTTCAGAAGATTGACTGGCAGCTTTCTGAAATATAGAGATACTTTCCTTAACTACAGAGTGTTTTCGTAAAATGCCTGGTTGCTACTTTTTGTGAGTTTGTCTTACATCTATACATGTAAAATAACAAACATTGAGTGCTGATACACAATGGATTAAAATTCCTACATCTTTATCTGCATGTTAGGGATGAGGTCTGGCTTGGGAAATGTTCATGAGCAGTTAAAGGCCATTGAAAAAACTGGGCTTAAGTTTCAAGTCAGAATCAATAATAGCTGGAGATTTGATCTTTGCATGACTGGAATATGAGAACTAGACACTTTCTAGCATGACTTAGGTAGTGAATGGGGGTGATGGATGAAGACTTGTCAATAAAGCATGTACCTGATGTTGAGCTCCAGAGTAGTAATTATGAGTCATAAGAGTGGATTTTGGACAGATGTGCAAATAGAGAATACACTAAGGGTCTCACTGAAGATAATGTGTGTGTGTCTTAGACATCCTTGGAGAGTCTCTATGATTCAGAAAATGTCCCTATGTTCATTTGTTTATGAGAGCGATGTCCTCATGAGAATACACAAGGAAATTTCAGACTATCCATAAACTACTTTATCTTCTAAAAGTTTCCAAGCCATTAAATAGTCCCCCGAGATGGCTCCTAAAAGTCATTAGAACTTTACATTGTCAGAACATGTCATTACCTGACACATGCCAGTGTTTAAAGAAGGAAAGGAACCACTTATCTTCTTTCTGATTTGATAATGCACTAGAATGGATGAATAGATAAAAATTCAAATGATGATCATCAGATTACTGAATCTGATCCCGACAGTTGAAGAGCTGGCAAGGCTGAAGTTCCAAAGGTGATGGTGGTGCTGCTATTGGCTATGGATTGGAAACAAAACACACAATTTATTTCAGATTAAATCCTCTTATAATTAAATTATTACACCGTTTTACCAGCAGCTCTCTCTAGTTCCACCCAACTGTCATCACTGAATCTTGTAACTTCTTGTCTTTCCAGTCCTAGCTCCACCCAGTCCTCTGCAGAGCCTACTAGCTACTCCCACTGGACCCAGGGCATGAACTTTCCAATGACACTTATTTTCCTATTTTGCACATTTAGATGATTTAAATTAGATTATAATCTCATTAAATAGCCATTGAAATGTCTCTGCCTTCTTCAGCTCTCCACTGTAAGCTTTGACTATGTCCTATAATAAACACTTTGACCAGTAGACTGATAAAATAAAGTATAATATGGTTTATTAGGTTTAATCTGATGTTGCCATTGTATTCTAAGGTATTCTTATCTGAGAAAGCCAGGGCAGTTAGGCCATTAGCATTGCCTGGTTATCTTTATTGTACTAGACAGATGATATTACAGCCACCTGGTACATACTATATGTGTATTAAGCTTGTTAAGTGTCCTGTGGTCTGATATTTCACCATGGATATATTGAATTATTGAGTGAAGATGAATGCTTTCTTTCCCAAGATGACCTGTTCTGTGAATAAAATGTGAATAAATCATTCATTGCTTACCAAATACTTTGTACCCCTTTATTCACTGAACCTGAACCTTCTCCATTGTAGCTTAAGCATTGTGTCAGACTTTAAGATGCATGTCAGAGTAACAGAACAATCAATAAAAGATCTCAGACTTATTATCAAGTTAGGCCGTCAGTCATGCTTTGAACTGGGCGCTGTGTTTCCCATTGCTGTTCCATGCTGTGTTCCAAACAGAATTCCCCATTTTTGAATTCCAGGCTTCTTTAGATTAGACCTCTGATTGCTGGTGCTATGATTCCTAGCACCGTGTGAGCTCAATTAAAGGGATTAAGTTGGATGCTAACATCGTTAGTAAGTCTTGAAGGATTTTAAAATTGTGTGCATCCTTCAGTCAAAAGCCACTGCTATTTGTATATATGCCTGGGCCTTCATCCAGATGGGTGCACAGGAAAACCAAGAACCCCGCCCATGATGCTCTTTCTTTTCTTACCCTTCTCTGCAGTCTTCAGTATGTCTGTGATTTTCTGTTCTGTTACCACACTTACTATTAGTTTGGGACCAGTTTCTCAATGTTCTTTCTATAACTTCTACTCAGTTCTTAGGCATAACTTAGGTATTGCTCTGCTACTTCCTATGTATTTCCTCTGGTATATTTCCCAGGTCCTATGCACCTGCCCTATCATATAACATTGAACTTAGACTTGTTCTTCACACTGATTAGGTTTCTCTTTAACCATTAGACATGAAGTTTCTCCAGTGCCTCCTATACCATTCAATTGTTGACTTCATTTTTTAAAAGAATTAATATGTGGATGGGTGGATGGATGGATAGATGGATGGATGGATGGATGGACGGACGGATGGATGAATATCAGTTTCTCAGCTTCTTATATTCTCTCTGATTATATTTTGGATTCCCAAGACAATAAGAACCCCAACTGGGATTTAGAAAGAACATATGTATTTGGTTTACTCTGTAGATTTTTGGATGAGTACATGTCACAGTAGAAGAGGGAAGGCGGGAGGAGGGAGGAAGACTGGGAGAAAGAAACAAAGTGTAGAAATTGAGTGTGTATCTATGTAACCGGAGGTGTGTTTTATAGAAATGTGCTTGATAAATTGAATCGTTACTAAGGGAAGTAAAGCTACTAAAAATCTGGGGGCATCTGACAGATTCTTATGATGCGACGAGTCCCACTGGAGCCCAGGTGTCTCCTTGTTTGCCTGCCTCCTCAGTGTGTGAAAAATCACTCAGAAACACACACACGTGGACTCATCCACACCTGCACAAGCTTGTCAAATTTCAAGAAACCAAATGGCCAAGGGAACACGTTCAGATCACTGAACTGCAGTCTTGTTCTTTAATGAAACAAAATGCCACTGTTTTGGGGGTTATAAATTTAGGGTTTTGCAAAATAGTTTTTCATGAAAGGTTTCCTGATGACTTAGAAAAGTGTATTAAATGTATCAACAAATTGGTGAAAGAAGAAAAGTCAAAGATAAAATAGATGTGGGGACCAAGCGTGAACACAAAAGCCCCTCTGAATCTCCCCAGATCCCTGCAGAGAGCAAGCAGAGATCATCCCTTCTGGGTCCTACTTGACTTTAGAATGGAGAACTCTCAGGTTCTCAGTGTGCGGGGCCACTGGACCCTGTGAAGAGGGGACTTAGTTCTGAAATGAAGAGAATCGGAGCTTGCCTGGGTGGCTTTCATTTTCCCTGTCATAGGTGGAGCAGCTTCGCAGGAGCTGTTCCTGGAACCCATCACAGGTGCTGCTGTGTACATGGCTGCTTTTTCAACTTACAAGAGAACAGGCCACCGAGACCCACCTTGCTGTAGCTCATGAGCTGGCCATGTACTATGCCATGAGAGGAAAGTGACGTCCTAAAGGCGAGATACATTAGTGCTTTGGTCTTTGGAATTCTTATAGCTTTCACCTCTCAGATGCTAGAAACGCTCGTTTCCCACAGGTTTCTCACTTTGAAATGAATGCCCACACCGAAGCTTTAGGGCTCTGGGTTTCCTTTCTGACTTGTCATTTTGTTTGTCTTCCTCGGAAGTGTGAATTTGGGGGCCTGGCCATCCGGGGGAAATGACAAAGGCAACTGCCCAGTCACTACTGGCTGCAAGCCAACACCTTACCCCCACCCCTCCCATCAACCCCTCTTCCTCCACTGTGCTCTAAATTTAGGTGCACACTGCTGCCAGTTTCCCAGAGAGAGAAGAGGCACCCAGCCCTACACGGGACTCCCAGCTTGCCTTATAACCTGGCAGCTTTACCCTCTATATTTTTGCTCCAATGAGTAATTCCAGTTCACAGAATGTAAGGGGAAGCTAGGATTCCAAACTGAACATGACATTGATGGCGCCCAGTGGGTTTCCTTGAGGTGTAAGTAGTAAATTTGTTTTGTCTGCTTTCAATCCGGTTGTTCTCTGGACAGTTGTGTCAGAGGCCAGATGCAGGAGGAAAACGTGATTGGATTAGTGTCCCTGTTCTCTTTCTTTAAGGTTTTCCATCTCACTTTCGCGCCTGGGTGGTACAACGTTAAGGGAGAGATGTGGGCTACAATGACTCTCACTGTGGACATAAATTGCAAAATTGAGGGTTCCCAAGGCCATTCACACATCTGAGACAAGCTGCAAGCTCACAGCCCTCCAACGCTATCCCTATGTTTAGTGATGCATAGATGGAGTCAGACTTACTGAAGTCTGTTTTATGCTCATAGCCATGGCTTATTAAAATAAAAAAAGATGCAGATTAAAGGCAGACAGGGAAGAGGGGCATGGGACAGAGTCGGTACAAACTGCCCTCTGTTGAGTTGACTTCAGTCTTCAGCTCCTCCAAAAGATGACGAGAACATTTCAGCGTGGCCTTAGGTCTCCAGAGACAGAGACACTTATTTTGATGCTTTTGTGGTTCTAGGATCTGCCCGAGGTCTTGCACACGGTAAATAAGCACTCTACCTCTGGACTGCATCTGCAACCAAAGACACTCTCAAGAGGCGATGCGTTTCAAGGCTTAGAGCTCACTTCCTGGGAGGCACACGTATCACCAGGTGAGTCAGTCCCTCGGCTGTACACTGCTCTACACTCGCAACTGAAAGTGTGTGCCTCACTAGCTGTTCCGTTAGCGCCAGTGTTTCCTGCCCCTTGTTTTCTTTGCTTCTGTTTATTTTCCTTATTTTTGTTTTCCTGGGCTTTGTGAGGAAATAATTTTGTTCTCCAACTGTTCGTTTTGATAGTTTTATTTTTCAACCAGCAGAAGCTTTGTATAATTTGAGATAATGAGGATTTGGGGTTTTGCTCTTGACCACCTTGTTGTTAGGCAGTATGGTTTCCAAAAAGAAGCTTTGAAATGAATGCCCACAGATGCAAACCCTTGTGAGCAAGTGGGGAATAATTTACTTTTAAAAATAGTAGCATTTTTTTTCTCTTGTAAACCCAGTCATGTATCGGTTGTCTTTGCTTTCTAAGCTCATTGCTCATTGTCGAGCAAAAGGCAGAGATGTTCTGCCATCATTATTTGGGTAAGCAGGGACAGACAGCACTCAGGGAAGCAGGGACAGACGGCACTCAGGGAAGCAGGGAGAGATGGCAGCACGTGGCACCTGAGCGCAGTCTCACTGTTCGCAGTACCCTTTCTCAAGGCTGCCTTTCTGTGGAGAGCAGTCATTCAGTCTAGCAATGGCAAAGGTGTTGGTGTGCCAATCTCGAGTGTGCCATTTTCCCACCTCATGGACTCTGGGTTGTCTTCCCACGCTCACTAAACACTGTGCGTGGATTAATGTTAGAGGGTCACTCCTAAGCTGTCCTGTGTCTCAGGCACAGTGTATGTGCTGAAATATACAAAACTATGCCTCAGACACCTGAAGAGACACTTTAAGAAAACACTGTTTCTTCTAGGCTGGTTTTTCTTTGCTTTATGTCTAAAAGCCACTTATGAGTGAGTACATATGATATTTGTCTTTCTGGGTCTTAGCAAGCTCATTCCCAAAGGCCCACCTACTTCCCTTTATAAACTGTCACTACCATCTCATGAATTCATTTTGAACCCAAGTTCTGGAAAGGAAATGTCTCCCCGGCTCGCCTCTCTGATGGGCACCTTCTCCTTAGAGCATGAAAGCACCCATGCTCATGTCTCCTCCACTCATCCAGGGATGTTTATGGGAGAGTATTCCTCAGCAAGGAACTTTTAGTTTTTAAGCGAGGAGTTTGGAAAGAGGCCACTGGCAACTGCTGGACCTCAGGGCACACCAGGGGACACACAAGTCAAAGATATTTTTATGGCAATGCTGTAGCATTCTATGACCCTTTCATGGTTCATAGTGATGATACAAAAGCCAGAGGGGCTAAAACTTCTAACATCTTAACATGAGTTAAGGGACTTTCACTAAAACCAAGAGCAGCCATGGCAGCGTCCACAGACCCTAAGAAGATTTTTTTTTTAAAAGCTGCTTTCTAAAAGAATGTCTTCAACAAAACAATGCAATTTATTGTTTGTATTGGACTGATCCTTTGTATTTATATTACATGTGTGAACTTGCACACGTGTTTAGATGCTCATGGGGACCAGAAGAGGAAACTAGAGTCCCAGGAACTGGAATTATAGGTGGTTGTGAGCTGCTGTGGAATAATCTTTTTGTACACTGTGAATATCTGTCACTTTGATTGTTTTAATAAAAAGTCAAACAGTCTATGCCTAATCAGGACTTTCAGAGTAGAGAGACTGCTGGGAAGAAGAAGGCAGAGTCACCAGGTAGACGCAGAGGAAGCAGGAAAGGGGGTGGACGGTACGTAGATGAGGTAAACAAGCCTCAGGTAAGCACATAGATTACTAGAAATGGATTAATTTAAGTTTTAAGAGCTAGCTAAAAACAAGCTTGGACTAGCAGCTGAGCTTTTATAATTAATAGTAAGTCTCCACTTTCATAATTAATGATAAGTCTTTGCTTAGTGATTTGGGAGTTGGCTGGCAGGATAGAGGAAGACTGCCTTCAGTGAGCTGCTTGACATCAGCTGGGAACTGAACTCTGGTTTTCTACAAGCATAGCCCAACTCTCAGGCCCCTTGACTCCATTCTTGAGTACTTACACTACGAACATTTGATGAGACAATGGGAGTTTCATACAAGGTCTTCTGTTGGAGGAAGCCACTTGTTCTTCCCAGCCGTCCAGCTAGCTTAGACCCAAAACAATCACACAGAAACTGTATTAATTAAAGCACTGTTTGGCCCATTTGTAACGGCGTAAGCTAATGCAGACAGATTGTCAAAATATAGACAGCTTTAATGGAGGAATAGACTTACAGAACCACTGTTCCCGCGGAGACCAGGAAAGCAGAAGAGGACGCTGGGAGCATGCTCACCAATTTTATAGGAGAACTTTAGCCTGAGGCGAACACACCCCCTAAGGGGTGGGACTTATCCCTACATCTCCCCCTTTTGTCTAAATAAGACAGAACTAAACCAAATACAACTATATACAATAATAACAAATAAATATAACAAACAATATTGAGAATCAAAAGTTTTGCTAAACATTCTATCTCAAGGAGTCTAAATAATGTAGAGAGTAACTACAATTATATAATCTTCAACTCCATCAAAGATCCGAGAAGGCAATAAATATTACTTAACAAACGATCCAAATGTGTAACAATTGACAAAGACAACTGACTACCTGAGCAATCACCCAAAGTCTCGTTTGCAATGTTGAGTCAACCAACTTTGGCTAAGGCCTAACATAACTGACATACCATTATTAAAGGCAAGGAACTTTTCAAAACTATCTTACCCTGTCTTGGCAGGATATGACAGTCCTGTTGTATCCATTGATGCACGCTCTGTATCTTTGTCAGTGGTTGAGGTATGGGCTTTTCTTAACCCAAAGGCCAGTTCTGCCAAGAAGACAAGCTCCCAGTGGAGTGTCTTTGGTGCTCAACGTTCTCTCGGGAATAGAGCGGTGTTGCCAGGAGCAATTGTGTCTCACTATCACGAAACTCTGAGTTATATTAAAGGCCATATTCTACAGCTCTCCAAAGAGGTTGAAGATTATCTATCTATACTGAGTATAATCTCTATATATCTAAAGAACCTGATTAGTCTAATTACAAATGACAAACTTAGATGACTATTAATCTATATAATTCTCAATATCTATCTAACTTAAAGACTAAAACAATAAACAACTGTGCAATATATGAAGACAATGATCTTCATCTGTAAACAATGTCATTACATATCAAATGTAAACAATGTTATTACATAAATAGTATCAGAGGTAGAAATGTACATTGTGATATGGTAGATGTATCAATACAATATAAGCATATTCTTATACAAAAATAGAGGTAGGAACACTCACATTCAATATTCAATATGTCAATATACAGAAAACAGTACCAATACAATTTTCTAAAAACAGTAACTCACAAATACCAATCATCCCATCAAACCAGTTAATCCCCCCCCCTTTTTTTTTTTTCGAACATACCCCTAATTCCATAAAACATCTCCCCATCCCCTCAACCCCAAACCAACCACTAAAAGATGTCCCTAACCCTGAGGGCAAACTCTGTTGGGAGAGGGGACGTCGTCCTCTAAGATTGCTTCAAGCTGACATGGGGGCGATGTTCTCCTTAGGGGCTCCTGTGAAAGCAAATGATGGTAAAATTCCCAAATTAACCTTTGACCTAAGAAAATTATAACTAGTCCCTGAGCACTTTGAGAAGGTCCGGCCAGAGTGTTGTCAAAAATGTGCACCATTCGAAATTGTCTTGTGCAGTTGGTACCAAAAAACAGGTCTCATATTAGCGCGTAAAAAAGAGAAAAAGAAAAAAAATATTCATGACGTCATAAAAACCAGGTTGAGTTGATGTTGTGGGGCCCCATCTTCATCCTGGAAACTTCAAAAATTACTGTAGGGAAATTTGTTGCTTGTTATGGGAAATTTAAACATTAACAACAAGGACATATTCTGACATATAAAGAAAGACACAGATATGAGGAAAAGCAAAGAAAGTTTATCAAGTATATAATTATCCTCATTCTGTCCCATTTCATGGCTCCTGATCTGAGACAGAAACTCTGAGATATCTCTTATCAACAGGCTTGGAATTGAAGAGGGACTGAGCCATAGTCCAACTCCAAAACCAGCTCTACATATTTATAAAGAAGCGTTCAAAGAGAAAAAAGAAAATATATATATAATCAATACTTACTCATGTTACTGTTGAGTCTTAGTGGGTCGTAACTATTTTCCATCCATCAGTTATTAAATATTCAGGGTCCCTTAAATTCTTTGAAGATCAGTATTTTCCTGTGGAGATAAAAAAAAAAAAAAACCCTGCCCCCAACCTACCTGAATTCCTTACCATCAGTATGCTCGCCATCCTTGTGAATGAATTGTTATTTATCTTTTCCAAATGGCTTTTCTTCTTCATACCGAACCTTTATTAATTTTGACGGTATCCACAATTGTTCCTCACCTGTGGAGATAAGAGCAAAACCCCTTCCCCAACGCAGCACATCTCCTGGCTTCCATTGTGAGGTCAGCACATCCTTGAAATAAACTGGTTGATTTAGTTCAGTAGACTTTTCCATTATCCAATGTCTTTCTGCAGCCGTTGTCCCCTTCTCATTAGCGTTAAGAAAATTCAAGGTTAACAAAGCATTATGTAACCTATTTCTGGGGGTGTTTTCCACCCCTTTCTGTTTATTCAACATATCCTTTATAGTTCGATTTGATCTTTCTATGACTGCTTGACCTGTAGGATTGTATGGTATACCTGTAACATGCTTGATATTGTAATAGTCAAAAAACCGTTTCATTTTCCTAGAGGCATAAGCAGGACCATTATCTGTCTTTATTTGTGTAGGTATACCCATGATAGCCATGACTTCTAATAAATGAGTGATTACTGAATCAGCTTTTTCTGAACTTAAAGCAGTTGCCCACTGAAAGCCTGAATAAGTGTCAATGGTGTGGTGAACATACTTCAATTTGCCAAATTCTGCAAAGTGAAACACATCCATCTGCCAGATTTCATTCCTTTGGGT